GAGGGGTTCCATCAAAGAATACAGTGTATTTTCGAACCGACAAAGGTACTAGACTACTAGTGGTTTAACAAAACAAGTAGGTAACAGGAACCCCCACTTTTCCGCCCATAGGTTAACCCCCCCAAGCACAACCAGGCATATTTATTGATGACCTCAGCTGCTTTTGCCCAACCTTCACAAACCATTGCCTTTGTGTTGTGCTGCAGGTTACCTTGAAACGTCAGTATCTGGACGAACAAGCAGGGAAAGTACAGGGACAGAATGTAAGTTGCAGCAGCAGCGAACACAACCCTGATGCCTGCACACTCTGCGTAGCGGGTTGATGCCTGGACATGGTTGCTGACAACGAACTGCAAGCGTGTGTTTCATTCTCTGTTTTCTTTTTTTCCGTAAAGATCTGGACCGGTTCTTGATTGTGCAGGGGCCATGCTAATTAATCTTCTCTTTATCGTTCCAATTTCAAAAGATGTCCCAAAGGACGCAAGCATGCATTTCGAAGTATTTCGTTTTTCACAAATTTTCACAAGTTTTCAGTAAAACTTTTATGCAGGGGTGGTTGTTGCACTGGGACTGGTATCACTGCAAATGTCAAACAGGTGCGTTCAATTTTTCAGGCCAATGGACTCGGTTCGAGTCGCTTCTGATTTCTCAGGTGGACTGAAGTTGATTTGGATTACTAGGTCTGCCCATTCTAGGGGAGATTCTATGCCCCAAAACTACTACCTTCTTACCCCGGAAAAAACGTACGTACGTTTTATTCGAATTACCTTCGAAAATCGGACTTTTAGAAATCGCTCTTTTTTTTTGAATAGAAGGTACGGTCAAATACACCGTACGTTCGTTGTATTCGAATGCAACGTACGTACGCTGTATTCGAAGTCTGTAGCATTTGAGACATTTTTCACTATCTGAAAAAATATTCAAAAAAATCCAAAAAAAAAAAAAGTCCAAGAACAATGCAATACAAACATCTTTTGCCTCAGAGTATTGTTGAAATTTGCTGTCAAATTTGAGGGGGGGGAAAAAACGTATTCCTCCCCCCCCCGATCGGTCGACTTGGTAACTCGCGTCCCCACCTTGAGTTCTTTTTCAAATGTGAACCCTCTTCGTTGGTGGTGCGAATGCCTGTACTCTCTCTCTCTCTCTCTCTCTCCCTCTCTCTCTCTCTCTCTCTCTCTCTCTCTCTCTCTCTCTCTCTCTCTCTCTTTTCTGTGT